AAGAGACAAAGAGGACGAACAGCCGAAAGCCAAATATAAATATTAGAAGAGAAAAATAGATTATGTTACAAAATACACATATTGAGGAAAACAAATATCCTTTAATGAAGATAATATTGAGGAAAAAGTGGCAATAAGGGAATCAAAAGCTTGGAATGGACATTAAAAGAAGTTTTAAAACAGCCTAGATCTAAAACATACTGTTATGGACACTGGCATCCTCCCATGATGACCTACGGGAGCCAAACCTGACGTTCACTGGTAGAGTGAAGTCAAAGGTGAATAGTGCCCAGAGAACAATGGAGGGGAGCATCCTAAAAATAAGACAGATCCACAAAATTTGAAGTGACCATCAGGGCGAAAACGAAGATCACCGACGCGCTAACCCACGCCTTACAGCTGAAATGGAAATGGAAATATTACAAGGTGCGCAGATAAAAGATGGACCGCCGAAGCCACTCGCTGGAGGGGAGCTCCAGGAAAAAGAAACGTGGGCAGACCACAAAAGCGATGGGCTGACGAATTAGTTAAGGTTTCTGGAGAGAATTGGATGGTGGTAACTTACAACAGAACTATATGGAAAGATCAGGAGGAGGCTTTTAACCCAAAAGGGCATACTGCAGAACACAAGGACACGGAAATAACAATAACTAACGTAGACTAGATTGAGAGCAAAATAGTCGAAAAAAGTCACTCAATGGACACCCCGCTACAACACCAAGCGAAAGAGAGGAAGACCATGTGCGCGGTGGGCTGATGTCTTTAAAAAAGCCACTGGTCCTCTGTGGCAAAGACTTGCCAAGGATAGGAAGCACTGGAAACAGCTGGAGGAGACCTTTGTGCCACAAAGGCAAGCTGTACAAGAAGACAGCTGTGCAACAAAACCTTCTTAAAGAACTTTTTTATATACATTTATATTTTGTAAACTTTCTATTGTATTAGTTGAAATAAGGGCTTTGAATCTTGAATCTTGAACGTAGACTAAGAGTATAATAACAAAACTAACACCCATTTGATATGTATTTTTACAGTATGGTATTAAAGTGGCTTTATTATTATTATTATAAAATATGTATCATATATGGTTAAAGCCAGATCGAATAACTAGCATTATAAATTAGCTCATTCACGAAATAATCGTGGGCGAGATGACCTGATGTGTTAGCGTCACTTGATGAACAGTCACGCAGAGTTAAACAAATAATACGTACATTTCGTTATAGCTACCTCAATGCTTTAGTTAGGGAAGGTTTTGCAATGGCAAGGTAGGGTGAGGCTCGCAGTAAGGGTTCTTAATTTGAATAAATATTGTTGACAAATTTTGTTCCTTTTTCAAATATGCATTCTTGTCCTATCATGTTATCTGAATCGCAATGTTATCGAAGTAGTTCAGCCTCTGATTCGCGATCCTCAATGTACTTGTAGTACTTGCTAGAGTGGTGGAGCAGTGTTGGCCTAGCGGCTTTATCTGCGGCTCCTAGCGACACCTGTGGGTGGTGGCTTGAATTACGGTAATGTCCCAATTTACTCGATACGAAACACGTCTTCGACTCAAAAATAGAAACCATACTGGTCAGGCACAGAAGGCTGATTTACCAACTTACCTTTACATAATTATAATTAATTATTTTCTATAATTTCATATGAAGAATATCACCAATTAAAAATTATTTTGTATAAAAGTTATAATGTATGTCCTTGCTATGTTTAGTAATAAAATATAATAAACGTGTTCATTAATTATAACATTATACAACATACATATATATGTATGATTTGGGAACCCTTTTAAGTACAAATTACTTGTGTCAGGGTTCCTCTTCCATAACAAACTTAATAGTTAACTTTAACAATAAAGCATTACGTGATGCATAACACGCGAAACACAATTTCATACATTTATAAAAAGGCTATATCATTTAACCATAAACTATACTTAAATTACTATACATTGCTGGCTTCTTCTTGTATTCAGATTCGATAGCATTTATTAAATTATCGGTCATCATGACGCGATGTATTGTAAACAAAACTATACGTCAACTATGAATAATGTAATTTATTTATTTTAAAAGGCACACTAAGGGAACACATAACTTATACATTAAAAATAAAAGACAAACTAGATTGAGCTGCAGCATCTTACGCCAAAAGCAGATAGAGAGCTGTTTAGAAGAGCATTACCAACATTGGTCGGACAACCGACGTTGGTCCTCAGTGAGGAGTGAAGACTCCTCACTGCCCGAACGTAAAAAAGGACACTTTATGTGTTTCTTGTGTTTCTCTTTAAGAGGAAGTTCACTTGACTTAAAACATTTGGTAAATCTACTAAGTCATTTCAATTTTTTTAAACAAAGATAATGTCGATCAGGCTATTATGGGATACCTGGTGTTGGATTTTATAAAGAAGTGACCATACCGTCAGCTTTCTTTAAAACCTACAGTCATTTAATTCAATTCAAAAATCATTTAATCATATGGGTAACACATTGTACACTTATGACTTGTCAGTAAAGAGATACATATTAATGCTTCTAATTTTACATTTAGTGCCAGTTCTCAAATCAAGGGCGTAGAACGGAAGAGAAGAACTGGCAATAACCTCTCCGCCACTCTTTTTAATCGCCATGTGTTTTTTTTTGTTGTTTGTAAGGAGCTGCAACCATTAAACCATGTTCCACATGACATCTTAAGTAATTAATAATAATAACATAAATAAAAAAACAAAGAGTTTTCCTCTATCAGCAGGAGGCATGGTGAAATAGGAGCACGCACTTACATTCTCGTGGGAACAACACGCAGACACATAGTCGAAATAATTACCATTACCGCATACACGAATTCAAGTACGACCAGTCACCACAAGTAGCACTCGTTCACGAGTATGACACATGGCCAGCCATCGGCCCCCTCGCCATATTTTAGGGAGAGAGACAACCCGACGCATGGACGCCGCCACAAGCAATGACATTTAAGCGAGCATGACGATCCTTGAAATGTGGACTTGGCTAATAAAAAAAAAGAAATAATTTGATACCACATGGATCACGGTTTGTTCCCACTTTACATTAAAACAGTCGTGGATGTTGACGATCGCCCCAGAGTCTGGAAATGCAGCCGAGAGATTCAGTCGTGTTACCTATAATATATACTGGAGCAACTCATATCCAAGCACTAAAGATGGAAATAAAAAGTTTTTAATATATATAACTTCAAAAATACATGACTTAATTTTTTTTTTAATTTTTCTGATAACTGGTGTGAGAAAATTTCGACTTGACGTCGACTTTTGGGACACCCTGTATATATTAGAACTATGATTATACAACATAAAAATAATGTTTAGTTGGAACCAGTGGGAAAAAACAAAGCTTCATATTGGTACAGATTTATTGTATACTAATCTAAGTTAAAGGACAATTAATATGAATTTTAACGAAGTAACGTCATTTAACTAACATTAAGTGAATCGCGCCTCTGAAGGGCATTACAACAAAAACTTAAGACAAATTATGAACATGAATGACTATAATTAACACCATACTTAACATTACACAATTGTTTAGGAATTTTAAATAGCTAAGATGCTTAACCCAGAATTAAATTATTACGCCTCTAGGTGTAAATTATATGTGTGATTACTAGCGAAGCACTCTTGGTTTAAAAAATAGATGGAGCCACTGTTCCAAATATGTAAGCATACTTGATCCTATCTTCAAGTTACGTCTAAATAAGGCGACTGTCGATGTAATGTAGGTTGCTATAAAACACTGTAGTTCCATAAATTTACAAGTCGAGGGCTACTAACGAATGAAACAATGCCTTATGAATCAATTTAAAACAGACGCAATAACTAGGTTCCATAAATTTATTTAACGATTTTCTCACGATATTTTACTTTACAAAGATTTGAAAATTAAATATATTTTGTATACATCAACTATGATGTATACCAAATACAACTGAGGTAAAAATAATAGGAATAAAATAAATATTTATTTATAACAATTTTTTTTGGGAAATAAAAATATTTTCCAAAAAAATCTAATTTCCATTTAAAGTGCTGTATTCCAATTATACAGACATTACATTTTAAGTAAGCTACACAGCCTTCTATTACTAATCCGAAATAATTATTATTTCTCCGGGAATTGAACCCAGGACGCAGGAAGACCTTGGTATTATTTAAGCATTTTTCTCGTAGATTCGTGGTTACGAGATCGTGCGTTTGAACCCGGCTAAAAGAATGTATTTTTCCATAATGAAAAATGAATAAATATGCTGGTCATACTTTGGGTTACTATATATAATATATAAATCTCACAAGTTGCTTTAAGTATTTGCCTATGTATTTGTAAGCTTTACAAATAATACATTGGTGCTAAAATAATTAATATTATTGATTAATTACTTAAATAACAAATACGGTATATCTCGTAAAGGCTATGCTTCATTTCACTGCTAACACATTACCATTTTATGCCCTTCTGTAACGAATACCAATTACTAACTGTAATAAATATTATAATATAATGTTAAGCACTTTCATAAAGTAATTGGAATGAACTTAATTGCAACATACTTGAGAAATAGTTTTGGTAGGATGAGGATCGTGATAACATGAATTTTTACAAAAATCTTAATTCATTGAAAAATCATATTTTTTTTAAATATACTGGTATAAATAACTTAGACCCTAGTGAGGACCCAAGGAGGTTTTACTGCGAGTGTACTCTTAATGATGATTTTTTTTTTAATTTGCTGTATGCAATATATTATTATTTCAAATATTTTCACCAACAAAGGGAAACCTTGAACAATTTTAACAACTATATTTTGTTTTAAATAAGGATAATTACTATTATATATCTCGTTTATTATTATTATATGTATACAATGAGTCGCGTGCCTTCGCAAAATCAACAAATCGTCGATCAAAATAATTAGTGTATCAACAAAATCGATCGGAAAATTGTGTAAGACGGCACTCACACAGTGAAATGAAGATTCACCTACAGTCAAAGGTTAGGTCCGTGAGCGCTTTTAGTAAGTAAGGTGAACGAATTTCGAGATATAAATATAGCATGGTTCTGACGAACGGTACATTCTGTGTCTGTCCTTACATCTAGCAACCGATATGAAGCTGGTAAATATTTAATTTTACCCATACATAAAACAAACAACTTTAACAGCAGAAAAAATTGTTTTAAAACCTATTTACACGAAAATATTTTACTAAAATATTACTTTTATTTTCAGCTAATATTATTATCGATAGTAGCATGTAGCTATGGGGATAAATTAGATAGAACATATCTTCCACCGGCAAATGCAGGCTCTGCTGGTGGTAGTCCGGGAGCTTTAACAGCTCCAGGCTTGTCGAATTTCGGGACGACAGGACCAGCCAAACAACCATTTGGACAGCCTTCCAGACCTTATTCTTTCGGTCAAGGTAATCAACAAACGCCAGGCAAGCAAGAGTCAGGATCTTTGAATTTCGAATCAAACCGGCCATTTGGACTTACGTCTGGATCTGGCGCAAGGAAACCCAGCCCGGTGTATGGACCTGCTGACAGCAGACCAAACCAAGGATATAATGGCTTAATTTCTGGTTTTGGACCAAGTAATTCTCAAGGTAACCAGCCACAATCTTTGGAATCGAATACCCCCAATGAATTGGGTCAGCAATATTTTGGTAATTCATTTGGACCCAATTCTGCTTCACCCTCTGGATACAGCCAGATAAACGGGCAAAACTTTGTAGGAAGTTCTTCACGACCTGAATCTGAACGCCCTCAGGCGGCTGCTGATAGGAACGCTGAAATCCTCAAATATGTCAACGAAAACGACGGGGACAGATTTACTTACAGCTTTGAAACATCTAACGGAATAACTGCTGAGGAAACAGGCGTAGCGTCTGGTGGTGTTAAAGCTCAAGGAGGTTATTCATATACTGGTGATGATGGAAAAGCTTACACTATTACGTATACTGCTGATGAACAAGGTTACCAACCACAAGGAGAACATTTACCCACACCGCCCCCAATTCCTGAAGAAATATTGAGGTCGATAGAAAAAAATGCACAAGCTGCCGCAGCTGGCACACAAGAAGGTAAGATTTATTAAAATAATGTATTGTGTGATTAATTAACGAGTAAATAACTATAATAATCGTTAGTGTTTCAAAATTAAAAAAAAAACTTACTGATATGTTGCATGCTTTTGTAGCACTTGAAGATCGCTATTAAATTATATTATAAATGAAAAAAAATACAAGTAACTAAGAAGTTGAACTGATGAAATACCGTAGTTTATTTTGTATATGTTTTTTCTAAGACAGCTAAATAATCATGTTAATCTTACATTTACTTATGCATAAACATTGAACGCTTCAATTCAACTTTACCAAAATTTATTGATTTCTGTTTTGATGTAATTTATTTTAAAAATATAAATTATAATTGCCATTATATTTACAGGTGCTTACCGTCCAGAAGATTATGAAAACGAAGATAATTCCCAAGGTTATTCAGGCACCACTTCTATAAACAAGCCTCAGGGACAAGACCAGTTCTCATCTCAACAATACACCGCTCCAATTGATAAACCAGCAAGTTCTCAAATCGGATTTCAACAAACAAAACCTCAATTCCAAAATGTACCGACAAGTGAGACTAGTTACAAGGATAGACTCACAAATGGAGGATCGAGTTTTGAACCGATTAGGGCTTCCAATCAGAATGCAGGATCAATTAACCAAGCTCAGTCAGAGAGAAGACCTGGCTACCAGTACTCTCGCCCTCAGAACACACAGGACACTAAACAAGCTTTTGGTAGCCAGCCCGACCAATCTCGTCCCCAGTTTGGATCCCCAATCCCTTCAAACTCTCCATTTTCAAAATCTGGAAATGGACAGGCATTAAACCCTTTCAACGGTGCCTCCAGACCCGAGTCTCAAAGCATACCAAGTGGGCAAGACTATTTCAAACCTAGTCAAGTGTCACAATATCAACAATCTGGTTTTAAGCCCACTTCAAACCAACCAGGTCAGGGATTTCAGTCCGAAATATCTCCAGGTCAGAATTACAAACAAGAGTCTTCAGGTTATCAGTATCAACCAGGAAATTCAGGTTTTGGTGTAACAACGCGACCAAGTTTCCCTAATCAGCCCAGTTTTCAAAACTTAGACCAGGATGCTACACCTCAGGGCGGAAGTCAATATCAAACCAACCCGTCCAACAACTTTTCGAACAGACCTTCATCAAACCAACCAGGTCAGGGACCTCAGTCTAAATTATCTTCAGCGCAAAATTACAACCAACAGTCTTCAGGCTATCAGTATCAACCAGCAAATTCAGGTTTTGGGGTCACAGCACGGCCAAGTTTCCCTAATCAGCCTCAAGGCGGAAATCAATATAAAACCAACCCGTCAAACAAATTTTCGAACAGACCTTTAAACCAACAGTATCAACAAAACACCCAAGATATAACACTTTCCCCAAACGGTTTCAATAGACCTAATGGCGCACCTCAAAATCAAGTTTCAGTGACTTCAAACAACTTGCCTGTAGTCCCTAACTCTATTGCGAAACAAACCGCACCAATTCAAGCACCATACCAGTACCAACGGCCATCTCAACCCTTCAACCAAAATCAGGTGTCGCAAAATGGTTTCAGGCAACCAGCAAGCCAAGGCCAGATACCATCTGGTGCCAATAAACCTGCATTTGGTTCACCACAAACTAGTTATAACCAGCCAATTCAAAGCCAGGGCCCATTGCAATCTAGTTTCAATCAGAATCCAGGTCAAAGCCAGACTAACCCTTCTCAAATTCAAGGATCGTCCTCTGGTTTCAACAGACCAATCCAAGATCAAGGATCAAAACCGGTATTTCCATCTGCGAACCAACCAGAACAGTTCAGTGGACCTCGTCAACCACCAAGCTATAACCCAGAGGAAGGCTACAAATACTAGAATAGTTTAAGTAACAACGAAAGAGGCATTAAAATGTAAAAAATAGTTTATCGGGCATTTGTAAATAGAACAATTTATTATGTTTAAGATCACCAAGTGATCGTCGCAATAAATGATTTAAAAAAAATTCGTGTATCTATAATTAATTCAATTGAAACTTCTCTTTCTCATGAACTTCCTTGCTCATTACTACTTAGTGTAGCAAATATTACGGATAATTTATATTAAACATACTCCTACGAAACATCTCAATCTACGCTCACGCACTCGAAGCTTTTTTATATGTATAAAAGGTCAATCTATAGAACACGCAACGCTACTATGATAGCATGACATTACGGATCAGTAAAACGATTGAGTAAGACAAACATGTAGAGACTACTAAGAAATTATTAAATTGCACTAAATTCTACCTTGAGGGCTTCGGGTTTGTTGTTGGCCTGTCATACATATCATGAGATGATATTATTAAATCCCAAACATGAATACATTTGGGTAGATAGAGGCATTTTCATAAAAAAAGCCATTTAAAAGAAATATTTGAGGCACACAAACATGATGTGATTCAAAATAACAACTTTTAAATTGAATCATTCTTTATTACAATCATATTATTCGGAATAAGAAATATTTCGAAATTTCCAAATAGTTTTTTCCCAAAATTCTCCAAACTGAAATTCCCCAGCACAGTTTGTTTATCTCTATCGAATCTTATAAGATTATTGTAATTGAAATAAAACACGAGAAAATAATTACCAAGACAAGAAAGAAGGGTTAACGCAACGGTGGCGTTTCAATTGGTCTTACCTTCTTTGGGTTCATTAGTCGTTTAGTCGACTTCTTAGTAGGGCACAAAATATGTAATAGAATATAATTCATAGAATTTGAAAATTTATAAAGCTTATTGATCAAAAGATAACTTTGTTTTAAAAAAAAGCAAAGTTTAACGTCTTAAAAAAAATTATTGTCTACCCTTTCTCTTCTGTGTAAAAATTAACAACATTAAAACTTTTAATTTCAAAGCACTTTTTACTTGGTAATATAATATTCATTGTTTTGCGAATTTTATTTCATTGGATATACAGATTATATACAGAGCGATACAGAAAAAGAAATTGTATGTAACTTAATTTATGGTCCGGCATGAATGTATCGTTAGCGTATGTAGCGTTATTTTTAAAGTATTTAAAGTATTTTTAGTGTCGTGGAGAAATTTACGCAATCACCGCAATTGAAAGACAACGGGGATATGTGGGACTCGACACACACCAGGCAACCACTCTGCTACTCAGAGAGGGGGTTGAGAAATACCTACTAAACCACTCCTCGGGTGTACCCCTATCGTCGAAACTCCCAAGGACTGGCATGTTCCAGGGCCATCGTTATGACACGTATAATACTAAAAGCTCATCATAGCATTGAACCATAAACAAGACGGATTACATGAACATTACTTACATTGCAACGTTACATTAAAATTGTTACAAAACTAAAAACTTCACGCATGAATCTAATGAGCCATCGTTAGTTCAACTTCTTCACGTATACTATTAAATTAATTTATGACTTGAATTTTTAGGAAACATTTGATGCTGATATGAAATATTTTTATGATTAAAATTCAGGGATTTTTTATTTTTTTATTAATAAAAAGCTTGCCAACGCTCGGCACACTGATACATTGGTGAAACCACCACATCATACAATTTTTAATGTAACAAGCACTTCAAGGCAAACATGACATACATGTAGATATCATACAAATACTAATCAAAACAATTATTAAACAATTTTTTGAATGGAAATGTATTCCAACTTGTGAGAATAGATGCAATATCTTTTAATAAACTTGGGGACCAAAAATACTGGCGGTGAGTTTGCGTTATGAGTTAACCCGAATCTTACCTTTAAATTCTTTTACACGCGCTTATACATATTCTCACATCCACACAAGCACTCATCCTTTATTTCTAGTTTCGTTTGTTAGTGTAGTTTAGTCATAATATGAAGTCGTCTCTTTGTATATATTCTGGGCGCGTTGGAAGGGTGGTGACCTGTTACCACAAGACTTCTACAATCCTATCATAGGCACCAGCTTCACACAAAGTCTAATTCAATATTGTGAAGGGCAAATAAACTTTGATTACTATTTACCCACACTCTTGATTTTGTAAACAGTTTTATTCCTAAATATCCTAGAAGCAGCCAAACTTAAATATCATTTTAAGATTAAATTGGAAATTATAGTAGATTAATAAGGATAATTAGTAAATAATAAATTATTTTACTTTTAACAATAACCAACAAAAGACTTGAGTTAAAGACAGAACATTTCCATTTATTCTTATAAAAGTTTATACATAAATTTAACAATTATTTGTTATTATTAACAATAGAAATCCAGTGGCGCTATGACTTTAAAGGTCTTGGTTTAAGCTTGCTTTTTTTCTTTGATCTTATTAAAGCCAAGTAGCTAGCCGATCAGCTATATTCAGCGAATTCAACAACAGCGTATTCCAATTCATTGCTGAAGTCACAATCTCTACTTTAGTATCACATATATTAATCTTTAAAAAAAAAAAATGTTTGACAGCTCTTTAGGGACGTCCTTGTATGCCTTTAGACATGCCGGTTTTCTTAACCTTCTTTGTATTCAATTAACACAGCATGTGTTATATGCGGATAAAAAGAAAAGTCCATTAATGCGCAGCCGATTGACACGTTCAAAGCCAACATTAGGACAATTGAACAAAAGCCTTTACAAAATAATGAACTAGCTGGATCCTTCATAAATGCAAGTATAAATCATGTTTCTTGTTTGCAGCAGAATGCATTATGCAATTGCACGGTTCATTTGTCGCAGGTCGTCACGAATTTAATTGTATATCCCTTACACATTCATTAATAACTCACTCGTTATACTTTCATTAAATTATATCTTTATATATATAACTTCTAGACCGATTTTAATTGATTTTTTTTGTATGCGTTTGGGTGGCGCCCTGGATGGTTTAGTTTCACAAATCAGCCCGACAGATGGCGCTGCAGTCGGTATCTAGGTTATTTATCTATACAGCAAATTAATAGCTGGTAATAATCTTCTGTGCATGTGTTCCTTATTAAACTCCTAAACGGGTATACATATTATGATGAAATTTTTTTGAAGCGAATAAGGCTCTGCTGTTCCGCATCCCGCCTAAGGCTAATTGTTGGTGGCGCCTTGGGGTTTTAGTTGGTATGCACAAATAGCGTATCCCACAAAACCCTCCCGCACTAAGCAGTCGCGCCCCAGAAAAAAAAATAACTGGGGAAAGTACGGAGCTAAAAATAAAAGAATCCAGTGGCACTACAACCTTATATGGTGGTGGAGACTTAAGATTAGATTTTTAGCTCTAAGACTTGCCGGTTTCTCACGTCTTGCGTCGTAAAAAAATCCATTGGTGCACGGCGTTATTCGAGTGCACATTTGAAGAATAGACAATAGACCAACACTACTACACAGAGCTATGAAAGTAGTACATTAAGAGCTTAGTAAGATTAAGTTATTTATTTATTATTGAATATATAATTTAAAAAAATAAATTTACAATAGTGTGGTGAAAATACTTTCTATTCCTCAGGACGTCGAACAAATTCAATACGTATATAATTTACAGCTTGCCAGCCAGTGGACTGTGAAATATGTGTTTAAATTTATATGTATTAAATGTCAGGAGTATTTGTATAGTATATGTAGTGTATTGTATAAGCAAGCTGAACTAAATATTTAAGAGGGTGAGACCTAACAACCCTACGGCAACCTACAGACGTACCCTAACACATAAATAGTGAATATATATTATATATACATGTACAGGAAGTACAGGAAGTCTGCACCAATAGACCTAAGGTAACAGACGGAGCCCTACGGGTAGGATCAAATGGTCAAGGTAGTGGAATTATCTTAAAGCTTGAAGTAGTCTTCGCCACTTTGAGAGGAAGTGAGAAATGAATACTAAAATCAACGATATAACATATAATTATTTTTGCGCGTAATAGGATGGTACATTATAATAAAAAATCAAAGTATTCATGCATAATATGTTTCTAGGATGATAAAATTATCCTAGAAACATATTATGTACATATAATTTACATATATTCAAATATAATATATGAGAGCATAAATAATACTTATTAAAGCTTTTAAGTTCACCCATTTAATATAATTGTCAAGATCAATGTATCAACACGGATTTTTAAAATCACGAGTGCTAATATACCACTAATTAAAATAAAAGTAAAAATATTGAGGTCGCTTGGTATGCAAGGTCGCGGAGTCCATAAAGAAGCATGATCATAGAAGTTACGTTTGTTACTGGTGGATGGTGTTATGCAAACTTTAAATGGGCATTTCTAGGCATTTTTATTACGCCTTGAGATAAAGAGATACTGCAAGCATTTTCATGCAGTTTTCACTCTTGTGAAAACTACTTAACTGAAGGTTCTTACCTTATTAAAGCCAGAGAGAACATTCTAGGACCCCTTTACGACAAGGATATATAAGCGAGCGAGCCGAGATTCGATTGCGAATGCGATTCCAAGAGATTAACATCGAAGAGATAAAGTGCGAATAGTGAAGACAATTGACAAAGTACAGTGTTAAGTGCACGTAATTAGTAACTCTTTTTTGTGTGTGATAAATAGTGTATTTCTGCGTGTAATCGTTGAATTAATAAAAAAAAACGGTTGAAGAGATCTACGGTGTTTTTGTAACAATATTATATTTATATATTATACATATGTCAGAGATAATGTAATAAGAGTACATGATGTAATTTTATGACAATATATCACTCGGTCAGTCCTATTGCCTTTTAGTTCAAGTTCATCATCCATAACACCGTCCAATAATGATACGTCCATCTTCACGTATTTAGATTACAAAATCAAGACACGATTTAATAAAGAGCAGTGGATTAATATAGATCGATATGAACAACATTCGCTATAAATAAGCA